ATTTAACTACAGAACATAAAAAGGCCAAAATCAGCATCACCGAATGGCTAGCATGGGGGGGATCATGCCTCTTCACAATCTGTGATCATATCACCAGGTATCAGTTCATGTGCTGACACCCCTCAGTACCATGATAAAAGGCTGTCAAGAATCTTCTTTTGTTATCTTCATCTTTTTTCCACATATCTTTTCAGTGGTCACCACATGTAACAGATTCCATCTTCTCATAACATGACCACAATATGATAACTTGTCTCAAATATTTGTGATAAGTTGTCGTCGAGCCCTCACCTTTTTCAAAACATCTGGGTTGCGCTTGCTGGCTGTAGGCCGAAATAACATGTGTTTAACAGACCTAACATGAGAAATACAGACTAATTTAACTAGAATTATTAAACTGCTCTTGCTGCAGAGGTTTTAAACAAAAAAAAAGACAAATGTAAATAGGAAAAGTAAAATGGTTGTTACAAATTTGCCACAACAGGGACAGTCACAGGACAAGAAATGCTTGGCTTACACCTGCTGAAACGGAAGAGAAGCGCTGAAGACGTTATCCGCCTCAGTTTGACTGCTGCTATCTAATTATATTCATTTGGAAAGTGTGTGAACAACTAACACTATCCGACATTCATGTATATTTCGCATACAGATAAGTTTTCTATATTGTCTTGTTCCGGGTTTTTCCCCCCGAGATAAAACGTACCGGTACTCACCACATTATGTCTTACACTTGCACCAAAAATTTGACACCTAAAAAAGGTGAAACAAAAAAATCCCTAGCCGTGCTGTGCCTCAAATGATCTGTCTCAATCATGAAAACTAACCATGTATTCTGTTTTATGTGGTGCAGTATCATCAAGTGACTTGCCATGCTCCGTTCCTGTGCCAGTGATAATCAAATGAAATGTCACTCATTGTCACATTTGAAAACCTGTTGAACAGACAATTAGCCCTGCCACAGTCCAGAAACTTGTGCACGCAATAAAATACATATGGCATTTGCTACTATATAAATGGAAAAGATTTTACAAAATGTTAGAATAATTTCAAGGACTTAACCTTAACTAAATCAACTAATCTGTGAATATAGTCGCAATATTGTTGCATGTTGTTCTTTTTATTAATTTTTTAAAAATAGTTTATCATATATACTTTACAGTACGATCATACAATGTGAACTGAGTTATGAATCTGTCTCCTTGTACTCAGTTCTTGTTGTACATTAAAATCAGTTAAAATATTTACTTATGAAATATGAGTTTTTGATTTATGGCCTTCTTGTGTGCACTGGGTGTTAATGACCAGAAATACAAAGACAAGATGTGAGACAGAAGATTCCTCCATCCTGTTCTGTGCAATCTCTTCTATATCATACAGTGCAGACCTGAAAAGGAGAACTCGCCTAACATCCAAGAAATGGTACTTATAAGAAATTCCTGTTATCCAGAGCTTGAGAGTTCAAGCAAGAAAAATTGCTGGCGGTACTGGACTTTTGTCGTTGACCCAGCTTTGAATTAGTACCAGGTAAAGTCCTGGGAGGTAAAGGTAACCCGCGTGATGCTGACCACATCACCCACCAAATGCTGATTGGTCTACAAAATATAGGTCTAGCCCTATATAAAGAATACGCCTTAAAGTGAAAAGAGCCCTAACTTACTTAGCATAATGTATCTATTATAGTAGCACTGACCACAGACAGAAAAAAGATGCAAAGAAATAGGTGCAGCTAGGGCGTACCACCAGAAAATGTTCTGCAAGTAAAAATCACAGAAAACGTTTTGTGTGCAAGGATTAGAGTCTTAAAGATAAGAGCCAGTAGACGAGGACAAAGACCCTGACGGAAGGACAACATACTGAGAAAACTGGACATGTCCATAAAGAGAAATCACCTGGGACCCAAGAAATTTATCGTAAGAACAAGAGTTCAAGCAAGAAAAATTTCTAGGGGTAAACAAACTGTTCTTTAAAAAAAAAAATTGGCCACATCCAAGGTTTCCATTAGTGGTCTTTACTGTATCACTAAAATGTCTGCACCCGACACCACGCACCGTCTGTGGCTTAAGCGTTGCTAGTCCGACTTGTAATACCAGCCTTTCGCGACCAAAACCCACTGCTGGCTGTGCGGATTTTTATCTTGGTGTGGGTCGACACAGCCTAAAATGGGTACCAGGATGGATGTTCTGGGGAAATAAAGACAGCCAGCATAATGCTGACCACATTACCCACCTAGTGCCGATGGTCTGAAAAAAAATATGGGTGCCCTTTCCATATACCTGATGCGCCCTTTAAGGAATGAAAAGGGATCTTTACTTTTTCTTCACCTGACACCACAGGGCCAAAAAAACACAGATTAAAAAACAGAAGAGAGTGAGGTGTAGCACACAATGGCAAAGGGTAGATGATTTGGTTGAGGGCCTATGCTCCATTGTGAGATAAAAAAAAAAACATGATAAATACATACCCTTAAACATAAACAAAATTCTGATTGAAAATAATTTTATTAATTTATCTTTGAAAGAAAAAAATAACCAAGGAAAATTTACAGAAACATTCCATATCTTTTTTTTTACACATAGTAGAGGAACAAGTACTGGAAATTGTGACGTACAAGTCAACCTAATATAACATTTGACCTCAGGATTTTTAGCTCAAAATTCTTAGTCAAGTTCCACCCTGTCACCATCTTTCATCAGCATTAAAGTTCAACAGCACAGCAGTGCTGATAATTGTACACATCAAACCCCCTCCTCAAACACCCTCATCAAGCCACTTGTTCTGGTGCAAACAACACTTCTTAGCCAAGATCATCATCATCAGGTTCCTTGCCAACTGGTTTGGGCGATCATGCCTCTCCACAACCTGCGATCTCCTGCAGCATGTATCAGTTTGTGTGCTGACACACCTCCATGCCATGCAACAAGACTGTCAAGATTCTTCTCTCGTCTTCCTCTATCCCTCCTTCCACAGATCTTTCCAGTAGTCACAACATGTTCTATTTTCCCTCTTTTCATAACATGGACAAAAAATAATGACTGTCTCCTATCAAGATACTTAGCACAAAGAAACCAGACCACAATTAATTTTTTGTGTGGTTTTGTTTTCATAAATTGATGGATGGAAATTAGGTCTACCTTATGAATTTTATGCCAGCCAAATAAGTTGACTCCTAGTTTTAGGCTCTCTCTCTTGTTGTACCCCACTAGGACATCACACAAGTGATAAACACCTGGTGACATAAAACTGGTAGTCTGGTCTGGGATCACCCATGGAAACCCCTTTCAGCCGTTGGGCCACATTTAAGGCACGGCTATATTCAGGGCTGGCATTTGTAGGCTTGAAAACTCAACTTCTATACCAGTTTATGGTATAGCTAGAAATCTTGATAAAAGCAGTGACGACTTCTACTCACCAGTGTCTTAAAAATTGCTGGTACTCACCAGTGTCTTAAAAAGTGCTGGTACTCACCACACAGTACCTTGCACAATAAACTGGGCACAAATGGGGGGAGGAAGGGGGGGGGGGGTGTGCTGATACTGTGTAACAACAGGAAAAAGGAAAGCCCAGATAAAGGCTATCATGCAGTTTAAATCTTCCTGTGCACCTCTCTGAAAGTCATATGTTCAGGATTGTTCTATGACTTCATTCCTTGTTTATGTGAAAAAAAAAGTAAAAGTAAAAATCCCTTTTCACGCCATTAGGCACATCAGGCATATGGGTAGAGCACCCATGATTTTACAGACCAATCGGCACTAGGTGGGTAATGTGGTCAGCATTAAGAAGGCTGTCTTTACTCTCCCAGGACATAGACCCTGGTACCCATTTTAGGCTGGGTCGACCTGCAATGCCATATACCACGATAAAATCCAGGTAGCCAGCAGTGGGTTTCAATCGCAGTAAGTTGGAATTAAGAGTTGGCCTCGCAACGCCTAAGCCATGGGTGCTACACTGTTCAAGTAAAACATTCATGATGATTCTGAGTGATAACTTCAATGCTCATTTATGTGAAACATTCATGGTCGTTCTGAGTGAGGACTTCATTCCTTGTTTATGTGAAACATTCATGGTCGTTCTAAGTGAGGACTTCATTCCTTGTTTATGTGAAACATTCATGGTCGTTCTAAGTGAGGACTTCATTCCTTGTTTATGTGAAACATTCATGGTCGTTCTAAGAGAGGACTTCATTCTTTGTTTATGTGAAACATTCATGGTCGTTCTAAGTGAGGACTTCATTCCTTGTTTATGTGAAACATTCATGGTCGTTCTAAGTGAGGACTTCATTCCTTGTTTATGTCAAACATTCATGGTCGTTCTAAGTGAGGACTTCATTCCTTGTTTATGTGAAACATTCATGGTCGTTCTGAGTGAGGACTTCATTCCTTGTTTATGTGAAACAATGGTCGTTTGAGTGATGTTTATGTGAAACATTCATTCGTTCTAAGTGAGGACTTCATTCCTTGTTTGAAACATTCATGGTCGTTCTAAGTGAGGACTTCATTCCTTGTTTATGTGAAACATTCTTGTTCTAAGTGAGGACTTCATTCCTTGTTTATGTGAAACATTCATGGTCGTTCTGAGTGAGGACTTCATTCCTTGTTTATGTGAAACATTCATGGTCGTTCTGAGTGAGAATTTCATTCCTTGTTTATGTGAAACATTCATGGTCGTTCTAAGTGAGGACTTCATTCCTTGTTTATGTGAAACATTCATGGTCGTTCTAAGTGAGGACTTCATTCCTTGTTTATGTGAAACATTCATGGTCGTTCTAAGTGAGGACTTCATTCCTTGTTTATGTGAAACATTCATGGTCGTTCTAAGTGAGGACTTCATTCCTTGTTTATGTGAAACATTCATGGTCGTTCTAAGTGAGGACTTCATTCCTTGTTTATGTGAAACATTCATGGGTCGTTCTAAGTGAGGACTTTCCTTGTTTATGTGAAACATTCATGGTCGTTCTAAGTGAGGACTTCATTCGTTGTTTATGTGAAACATTCATGGTCGTTCTAAGTGAGGACTTCATTCCTTGTTTGTGAAACATTCATGGTCGTTCTAAGTGAGGACTTCATTCCTTGTTTATGGAAACATTCATGGTCGTTCTTCATTCCTTGTTTATGTGAAACATTCATGGTCGTTCTAAGTGAGGACTTCATTCCTTGTTCATGTGAAACATTCATGGTCGTTCTAAGTGAGGACTTCATTCCTTGTTCATGTGAAACATTCATGGTCGTTCTAAGTGAGGACTTCATTCCTTGTTTATGTGAAACATTCATGGTCGTTCTAAGTGAGGACTTCATTCCTTGTTTATGTGAAACATTCATGGTCGTTCTAAGTGAGGACTTCATTCCTTGTTCATGTGAAACATTCATGGTCGTTCTAAGTGAGGACTTCATTCCTTGTTTATGTGAAACATTCATGGTCGTTCTAAGTGAGGACTTCATTCCTTGTTCATGTGAACCATTCATGGTCGTTCTGAGTGAGGACTTCATTCCTTGTTTATGTGAAACATTCATGGTCGTTCTAAGTGGGGACTTCATTCCTTGTTCATGTGAAACATTCATGGTCGTTCAAGTGAGGACTTCATTCCTTGTTGATGTGAAACATTCATGGTCGTTCTAAGTGAGGACTTCATTCCTTGTTCATGTGAAACATTCATGGTCGTTTCAAGTGAGGACTTCATTCCTTGTTGATGTGAAACATTCATGGTCGTTCTAAGTGAGGACTTCATTCCTTGTTCATGTGAAACATTCATGGTCGTTCTAAGTGAGGACTTCATTCCTTGTTTATGTGAAACATTCATGGTCGTTCTAAGTGAGGACTTCATTCCTTGTTTATGTGAAACATTCATGGTCGTTCTAAGTGGGGACTTCATTCCTTGTTCATGTGAAACATTCATGGTCGTTCTGAGTGAGGACTTCATTCCTTGTTCATGTGAAACATTCATGGTCGTTTCAAGTGAGGACTTCATTCCTTGTTTATGTGAAACATTCTGGGACTCTACATTTTCAATCATAGTCACGAATAATATACATCATAAATCAAAATAACTAAAATAATTTGATTTTGTTCAATATGTGTCCAACGCCACTGAAATAACTATTATAGTACAATTTGTAGAAACTGCTGATTCTGAATCATCATGAGTCATGCCGACAGCCTAGGCTACCATGTTATGCCATCTCACACTATCCCCAGAATCAAAGATCAGGTCAGTGTTCTTGTCTCGCCCCATCTATGAAGCCAATCTATCCAGTACATTTAACTGATCAGGTTAGTGTTCTTCTCATCCCCCCCCCCACACACTTAAGAGGAACCTATATGGGTTATTTTTCTCTGACTTCCCCCTGCACTCCTTCTATCAACCTTACGAGTTGTCACCAAGTTCTCCAATCTATTTGTTTTTGTAACATGTCCGAAAATATCGACTTCTATGTCTCATTAGGAATACTACTCCCCCCCCCCCCCCCCCCCAGTAAATGTCCTTTCCTTCTTCTTTTGATGCACTTCATCTCGCATCGGAGATGCCTTCTATCCCCCAATGGAGCATAAGCCCACAACCAATTCATCCTATCCTTTGCTATTGTGTGCAGTGCACTCCATGTCCTCCCCATCTTTTAACTTTACTCTCAAGCTCCCTTCATGTGTTTTTATTGGTCTGCCCTTAGTTTTATGCCCCTGTGGGTTCCACTGCAAAGACATTCTAGTTTAACGTTATTCAACTGAGTTTATTCAAGGTTCGAATTGTAGCAAATAGGGATTGTCACAGGCCAGAGCCCCAGCACAAAAAGATCGTTAGTATTGACAATGATCCATGGGCCACTCTCGAGGCCTCGGCGGACCTGATTTGGCCCGCAGGCCACCAGTTGCATTGCCCTGTTCTAGTTATACTGCTCTCAGGGTTTCTCATCGAGTGTCCTGCCAACACCAGAGCTCAACATTAGTTGTTCTATGATACTATTTAATTTCCAATATTCTGAGCACACACCAGTTAATGAATGTTTGTAACTTACTGGTAAGTGTTTTAACTGTTCTCCATGTTTCCACTCCATACAGCAGTACTGATTTCACACTAAAATTAAAAGTTTTGAGTTTAGTATTAGTTATTTCTTCTGGCCTTCACAAATTTCCAAGTACTATGAAAGTTCCTTATGCCTTCTGTATTTATATTTTAACGTCTTAATCAGTTCCCCCATCTTTATCTAAATTACTGCCCAGATAGGGGCATGACTCCAGCTTGGAGTGGCATGCCATTAGGTGTCCACCAACTCATGACAAAGCCTTTGTAACTTGTTCACGAGTTACTGGATGCTGCACCTAAAGTCTATGGAATATGGTAGCCACCGCCACATAAAACCTTAATGGTCTCCTATGACATGCTTGGTAAGTTAACTAGCTTCCACGGAAAAACTCTATTGTCTGGTTGATAAACTAATTGGCTTTCACAGAAAACCTCTACTGTCTGTCTGGTTAATGGACTAATTGACTTCCACAGAAAACCTCTACCTTCTGGTTGATGGACTGTCTAACTGGTTTCCATAGAAAACCTATACTGTTTGGTTGATACACTAACTGGCTTCCATAGAAAACCTCGATGGACTATCTGGCTTCCATAGAAAACCTATACTGTTTTGTTGATACAACTGGCTTCAACAGAAAACCTATACTGTTTTGTTGATACACTAACTGGTTTCCATAGAAAACCTCTACTAACTGGTTGATGGACTGTCTAACTGGCTTCCATAGAAAACCTCTACTGACTGGTCGATGGACTATCTGGCTTCCATAGAAAACCTATACTGTCTTGTTGATACAACTGGCTTCAACAGAAAACCTATACTGTTTTGTTGATACACTAACTGGCTTCCATAGAAAACCTCTACTAACTGGTTGATACACCAACTGGCTTCCATAGAACCTCTACTGACTGGTTGACGGACTGTCTAATTTATTCCACATAAAAACTCTACTGACTGGTCGATGACACCGTTGCCAAGTTACTGGTTGTGCTGGGGCTATGTTTATCAACAATTTGTTCCACCTTGGAAGGAGCTGGCATGACTTCAGTTTTTGCAGGCGCACTGCTAGCCTGCCACTTCAACTTGTCCACCGCAGGCACTTGAGGGTGAAAAAATGGACAGGCTGGACTTTTGCAGGCCAGACCAAACTTGCATGGTTTTGGATGCATGAAAACACAGTTCATGTTGTGACAATTGGGAAAGAAGCGGCAGATTCCCTGTGAGCTGGGATGCCCTGCGAAGTTACTTTTTGGTGGAACTGTGGAGAAAACAAAATGCGACTTGGGAATTGCGATGACATGGGTGGCACTAGCTAGCGCTGGCCGCCGGCTGGTGTGAGTATAAGGGCAATCAGGACGGGTACACTTTGAGTCAAACCGGCAGTTGGGGTGAATGAACAAGCACCTGTCACCAAATTTGCAGTTGGGGAATGTTTTGCAGTGAGCGGTCGGGTGATGGTACTCACAGGATGAACCAGCAGCACAAGCTGGCCAAAACTTGCACCTCTCGGACATTTTCGCCCGTTTAATTGCCGAAACATCACCTTCTGCCTGCTGGTAATATTCCTGAGTGGCCGGGGGTTTGGCTTCTTTTTCGTCATGCTCATCATCGGAGTCCTTGAGACTAATTGAGAAAGGCTGAATTTTCGGAGGAGTCAGTTTCGAGGGAACGGTCAGGGCGGCTGCATGGACCTGCTGCAGCAGTGCCTGAGACACAGTGCTGGGTGGAACTCCTAGCAGACGCAAGTACAGACTTGGATCAGGATGCATCTGCTGTGTACCTGTTGCCACAACAGGGGCAACAACGGAAGGTGCTGGTGCAGAAAGAACCGGGGCTGGATTTTTGAATTTATCAAAATTACTGCCTTTGTCCTCAGACTGGAAATGCCTTTCGTCAACCCCGTCTAAAGTCACAATGAATCTTGTCCCACGTTTGTTATCATCCTTTGTGATTTCATGGACATCTGAAGATAGTGGTTCATCACCAACTGCCGCAACTTTGCTCAAATCATCATCGATATCAAGGTCTAAATTGAAATCATCACCATTTGTGTCATCAAGCAACTCTGGGCCTAGATCTTCGTCAATCATTTTAGACAGATCATCATCATCATCATCCCCAACGCTGTCTGAACTTCTGTTCTTAGCTGTCTCATCCAGACCATGTGTAGAAGATCGTCGCTTCTCTGAAATCAACTCTTTCTTCACCTGCTCTTTATGATCCCTTGAATCATGTTCAACTTTTGCATCTTCGTTACTCTGCGTGTCACATTCGACCACCCTGCTGTCAGGACTTATGTTCCTCTTAGCCCTTGTACTAATCTGTGCTGCCTGGACAGAAATCACTGCAGCTTCACACTGCTTCTGTACGGCCTCCTTACCCACATTCGAAATCACAGGGCCGCTGTTATTTTTCTGGGAAAGGTTCTCCTTTGATTTTGACTGAGCTGCTTTGGCGACAATATCTTCTCTAGCATCTCTCTTGCTGGTATTTATCATTGCATGGCTTCCTCTTGTACTGGTACTTTCTCTCTCGTCTCCATCTGAATTATTTCTTTTAATGATTATTTTCCCCAACCTCGAGGCTGTGGGTTTAGTGTTCTGCGGTGGATAAACTGTTACCTGAAGTGGCTTTTTCGGTTCTGGTGATAAACTGTGTTGACGTTTCCGCTCAACATGAGGCACAGAAGGTCGCGAGTCGGACACCAGGTGGCATGTAATTTGAATATTCTTATCACCGTTCCTGTCACTTGTAACTTGCCTGATATTCTTGTCATTTTTAACTTCCCTGACAATTTGTTTACTTGTTATTTCTTTGCTATTCTTGTCATTTTTACTTTCTTTCTCTATCTTTTCACTTGAAACACTCTGGACATGTCTGTCATCTTCTGGTTGACGTCTGCTTCTCTCAGGTGACCGGGACAATTCAATTCTGTGTTCAGAATCAGGACTATGATTAGTTGTCTGTACAATATCACGATAAGATCTTGATGGAGGTTGGCGGCCGTTATCTCTCTTTATCATATGTCTAGCATCGTTGCGGGACAGCACACGCTGAGAACTACTGCTGCTTTGACGACCAACATTGTCTTTTTTCGATGGAATATAAGGAGGCGGGCTATCCAGATCACGAGACTTATCCCGTTTTCTTTTTGGAGAGTAGACTTCCGAAGGAGAATCATCCCGGCTTACTGGCTTTGCCACAGCAATTCTCTTCTTCGTCGCTACTGAACGCTCAGCTTCTGACATTGCCTTCATCAGAAGCACCCTGAGGAGCAGAAACAACAGTTAATCAACAAGATAATGCATGTCAACATAACAAAAAGGCTACCTGCCCGCCTGGCAGTTGAGAGTTTACATTTGCTTCAAGGCTGACATTTTTCTCTTCAAAATTGTACTTGGCTTCCAGGTAAACCTAGCCTAAAATGGGTATCGCAGATTGGAAGGTGGTTCATCCATATAGACTCTGGATGTACACCAGGGCCTGAGTTTTGCGTGTACATCCATTTTACTGGTTTATTTGTGTGCAGCTGGTTGTTCCTTGCCGCTTAGGCAGATGCACTCGGACTTCGAAGGAAGCTCTCAATTAGTCGACTCCTTCGACATGTTGGGGAGGCAGTATGTCTATTCCGGTTGTCTCCACAATGGGGCCCGGAACCGACAGTGAAAAAAATCACTACTGAAGGGGAAAATCACTACTGAATAAAACATGAAACACATTTGTCTCTGCCTTTATTTGCCACTTTCTTGTGCAACATAGCACACGGGTGCTTTTGAGTCTGAGAATTTTGTGGAGAAGTGAAATTATCATTAACTGCACTGGCTACAATATTGGGGAGGGAGGGGGGGGGGGAGATCTTGGCACAACTATAAAAAAAAAATCAATCATTACTAAAAGTTTCAACCTGGCTACATGAGAAATGTGTATTCACAACAATGTGGCCAGCCGTTCTTTGAAAGGTGTCCCATAATTTTCCGTGCCAGGAAAAATAAACATGCCACCAATGCCATGACACAAATAACTCCAGCTGTACTCAAATCCTTCTTCAACAGCGGGTGATACACATCAAAATATGTTTTTAAAACAATCGTAGCCATGTAGAGCAAATACTTAAAGAATTTTCTTTCACATTTCCCATACATGGAAACTTTTCAAGATACCCTGTACAGTCAGACTGGTCATCATCATAATAAATTACCACTGCCCGGTGGTCAGGCCTTGGTTGGTCATGGGCTAAGGAAGCATACCCCGAAAGAAAAGCATGTTGAAGACAGAGATGCCAGGTCGAAAGGCACAGACAGTATGGGAGAATACTTCTCTACGAACATAGCAGCACGCACACCTTTAATATCAAATGGACTGCACAATAACTTACATAAAGGCTACAGGTCCCCTGATATAAGTTTTCTGACACAAGCATCGAAGAAGAAGAAGATCCTAATGTAAAGTCAGATATATATTTTATGCAGCCATGGGGTTCAGTGGATGGCTGATTCACTGCATAAGGTAGGGTTGTTTGTTTAGCTTTCTTAAGCTGCATCCAAAAGGACAATCTACATTCTTTAGGAAAGTGAAACTAGAAGCACGTCATAATAACTGGACCCCATGTGGATTCACACGCTCCATAAAAAAAAGCCAAAATACATACTGCTCTCTAACACGCATATCGTAAAAGTAAACTAATTAGGGATGTTTCCTTTGCGGTCAAAGTGGATCTGCCTGACAGGCGAGGCGTCAATAATGTGCTGACAAATAAGCCAGATCTGTAAAGCGCATGCAAAAACTCAAGTTATAAAACAAGATTACAGCTGAGAAATCATCACACAACCAGAACATTCTGCTGGAGTTTGCAGCCAGTGAACAAGAAGAAGGTAACTAGAATAGTGGCAGGGAACAGGCAGAGGGAAGGCCAAGGGAGGAAGTATATTAGAAAGTGAGCAGTCTTGTAGGTCATGCTGTGGAGTTTGCTTTGATGCACCAGAACTGCATGTGAAAACCAGGGACACCCATATAGTTTAAGTGTGCTTTGAGTCAGAGGTTAGTTTTCATATAGGGTAGAGTATCTGCCCATTTGCAAGGAGACTACTGATTCTTGGCTTATTAAATCATATGTGCCCTCACTTTGAAAGAAGCAGCCATAATTACTTAATTAGTCAACTTTCATAACATGCCTTTTGGGGGCAGTGGATCTATTCTAATTTGCCTGCACAATCCGCCCCCAATGAAGCACAGGCCCTCAATCAAGTCTTTCTATCCTTCCCTACTGCATGCAACTCACCTCATTCCTCCCTATCTTTTTAATTTCATTCTCTAGCTCTTTTATCCATGTGTTTTTTGTCTGCCTTTAATTCTACGCCCCTGTGTGTTCCAGTGCAAAGATTATTATGTTGTTTTCAGGTTTTCTCTCAGGTCCTACTCGACACCAGCGACTTCTCTTTACCTCTTTGTCCAATTAACCTTGCATGATTCTCTTCCTAAGCTTAACATTTGTAAATTTTAAAAACTAAAATCATACAATTTAATTTCCTCTATTCTGCGCAGGCACCAGGTAATGACTGTTTGTTAGTTTATTAGTAACTGTTTTAGTTGTTTTTCAGTTTACGCTCCATACAACAGCACATAAGAATTAAAAATGGGTAATTTATACAGTTTTAATTTCTTTCAACCTCCTCAAATTTCCTAGTGCACTAGGATCTGTATACACATCAGTAACTCTTTGAGTGTCAAGGAATGCATGATGCATCAATTTTATGTCTCTCTTGACTACCCCTTGGGCCTCTGATGCTAAACCCCCTGGGACTCAAAGTTAAATATGAACATTAAGAGGAGTTCAAGAGTTCTTCTGACTTCATTAACAACAAAAGTAGGCTATCCTCCGAATAACGGTCCCAAATTATCGAGGCCGAAAATATACCCTAACAGGGCCTCAGTCACACGTAAATCGTGCACTTCCGGTGACTTAAATTGCGTACTTCCGGCGACTACTGACACAGCTGAGAGCTAAACTAGATGGCTGGGTCTCACGAGCAGCAGATACTGCATCTCCTGCAGCTTCCTTTATTTTATTTGCCCATGAGTCCCAGCCATCTAGTTCAGCCCCGCTCGACGCCGCGCGTAGAGGTGTGGGAGATACTCTCGGCGGTGGCGGTAGTCGCCTGGAAGTCCGCAATTTACATGTGACTGAGGCCCTGTTACGGTATATTTTCTGCCTCAATTTGGGACCGTTATTCGGATAGCCCAAAAGTAAAATAAATTAAAATACTATTCAAAAATGTAAAAAAACAATACCTGTTTGCTTGTAACAGTGGAGGCACGCTGGACTTGCGGGCGGTGACCCTTACTACACTAGCCACCGCTGGGTTACGTGGATCATACTCTTCATCCTCATCATTCTGACTGATTGCAGCGACTACAGATGTTAGAGCTGCTCTGCGTTTTCGTAAAACCTCTGAAACTTTCTGTATATTCCGACGTTCAGGATTCTGTTTAGGTAACCGACCAGAACTAGCTGTGGTAATAATATCCTGGCTAGATTTTGCTACTGGTTTTGCTGTATTTTTCACCGTTCTCGCATGTATAATTTCAACTTCAGTTGTTTCCAACTCATTAGTGAGTTCATCCTCTGCTGCCTCTGTAACTAACAGCTGCCTAACATCTTCAAAGTCTTCACTGACACTGTTGTCTTTGATAGGACTCTTTTCTTGTTGTGTCTCAGAACCGATTTTTGTTTCTTCTTGACTCTCAGAAATGTTACTTGTTGCTGCTGTCCCTATATTGTCCAAAACTGTTGCATTGACATCATCACTTACAACGCTCTCGATATCTTTCTTCTTATGTTTATCTTTTTTCTTCCCAGAAGAATGAGAAGTGTCGCCTTTATGTGACTTCTTGTGATCTTTTTTCTTCTCTTTTGCTTTCACTTTATCACTCTTGTCGTGTTTGTCTGTGTGTGGTTCTGGCTCGATTCTAATTGTCTGCAGTTTCTCTAACAAACCGTGCAGCCAGTCTGTGAATGCTACTGTGCTGGTGCCAAGAAACAATCCGAGATCGCCGTTCATCTGCGCTCGGGTTTTCTTGTTAGCTACCATCACCATGATATAGTCCGGTAACTCATCGTCCACGTAAGAACCGAGCTCCACAAGTTTTGCCTTAATTGCTGAACGAATTTTCTGGCTTATTTCGGTGCCCACTTCCATGACAGACATTAATACTGCGATGGCAGTATAAAACTAAAAGAATGTATTCACAGATAACAAGGAAAAAACAAAACAGTTTCACTTCAGAACTCAAAAGAAATCGTCAATTTGACTCCGTCTGCCGGAAGTTGACCGGGGCAGACGGCGCTGCTATACCTCAGATACAAATGTGTAACTTCATCGAAACGAAATTAGTCACATCTCGTTTATTACATTTAATTTATGAAATGTCTCAAATACGTGGTTTTAAGCTCTTCTTCTCCTTCTTCTTCTTCTTCTTCTTCTTCTTCTTCTTCTTCTTCTTCTTCTTCTTCTTCTTCTTCTTCTTCCTCCTCTTCTTCTTCTTCTTCTTCTGTAAAAAGCATGACTCTATACCCATATCCAGACGGATGTACATGGGGCTGCAAGAAATAAACATTTCACAAGAGCACAAGATTTGTCAACACTATCATCAGCCTTGTTACACTTCAGATCACTTATGGATCTGCCCGAAATGGCTGTGATGATGATCTTCACTAATAAGAGATTTTCACCCAAACTTCACCAGTCATGTGGATTTTATTTGGGGGGGGGGGGGGGGGGGAAACCTGTTAAGTGATTTTTTTGTGTGTGTATTCTTTAAAGATAATGAACAGATAATGGAATCCAGTCAAGCAGATTATGCCTCTCATCAACGTTCGTATTAGGTTTTTTTTTTTTTTTAAGAGGTAGGAAATTAAAATTATAGGGAAGAGAAAAAAGAGGGTAAGAAAAAACAAATAGTTTATTTTAGCTTTACAAAATCGATCATAATAAACAAACAAAGGACGTTTCAGCGATTAGCCTTCATCAGGACACAAAGAACAACACAGTACACATACACAAATATGCCGTAGCTATGAAGTGACAACACAAGACTCTAATGTACAAAATAAATGATACGTCGCATTTTTTTTTGAAAACTTTTATTGGTCAATTTTCTATGTGTATTTACAAGTGTTGCCTTTTGCCTGTGTTTGTGTTCAATGCTGTACAAAATCAGATACATGCATGTTAACCATACTAATAAACTAAGTTATAATTTTAAAAATGTTCAAATTGTCTAAAGAAGGGTTTGTTTATTTACAATGGGCGAATGAGGGGGGTCTGTTTCAGCTTTATTTCAAATGGAAAGGGGGGGGGGGGTATTTTGGGGATTATTTTGGCCATAATTGCTGGTTATGTACATTTTTTACACATAATTTTGTAAATACATTTCAAATAAACATGATATGTGATAGAGGATAGAGGCTTGAGGAAGGGAGGAAGGGTTGAAAATTGTATGTGAAAAGGGCTTGAGAGAGAGAGAGAGAGAGAGAGAGAGAGAGAGAGAGAGAGAGAGAGAGAGAGAGAAGAAGGAGAAGTATATATAGTAAGGACATATAATAATGTGTGTACTTGTAGGGTGTTTGTTAATTGAATATTTTTGTCAATAGGCACTGGAAGTGGTGCAGAAGACGATGGGAGGTATACTTTTTATCCCCATGCACTGCTTTACACCTGTACCTCCATATTAAAGCTCTGTATTCTGCCAGTGCCGTCAAAACTTTTTCATGATTTTCTCTTGTTGTTTTAGGAATTGTGATTAAAAATATTGCTTTGTGTATGTCTGCTTGTGTTGTTGTGTGTTTGTAGATGATGGTTTTGAGATTTTGAAGTGTAGTCTGTATTGTTGTACATTCATAAAATAAGTGTTTTTCTGTCTCTTGTACGTTGTTTGAGCACAGTTTGCATGGTATTTTACATTTTTGAATTTTTGCTATTTTCTCTTACTGTGTCCCTGGCGAAAAACTTAGCTTAAGAGGATGAACAGGACAGGTACTAGCCTGTATTTCACAAACGCGCGGACAGAAGCGAAAAACGGGTTTGGTATATCTAGGAAATGGTTTTGGGCGTACCCCCCACCCCTCCCTCCTAATCCCTTTATTTCCCATTTTAATTACTGTTTAGTAATTCTCTGCTGCTTTCTTCTTAGGAATTGTCCACGGTAGTGCCATCTTCTCTGTCTTACAAATATTGAAAGCCGTAGTTGCCTAGACATTTCTCATATTTATTAACCACTTTTTGAAAATACATAGCTTGATTTTAAAAATCAGTAAACATTACAGTACAAATATGTGAGCCTTCACGAGTAAAAAAACATTACGACAATGACACAGAACAGGGCATGATAGGTTAATATGCGAGAAGAATTACACTCACAAATTTAGAAGCTTGTACAATGTAATGAGTAAAAGCATAGTGAATACAAAAGACAAGAGGGGCTTTCATAGCACTAGGAAATTTGTGGAGGTCAAAGAAATTAAAAACTAAATTAACGCCTTTAATTTTTATGTCAGATCAGTACTGTTGTTTGAAGGAAAACAACCAAAGCAGTTAATAATAAACGACAAACGTTCATTAACTGGGGCCGACGCAGAATAGAGGGAATTAAATGGTGTGATAGAATCACTAATGTAGAGCTTTTGGAGATAACTAAACAAGTTCCAGTGGACCAAGCGGTGAAGAAAAGACGCTGGCGTTGGATAGAACACACGTTGGGAAAACATGAAAACAAAATAACTAGAGTGTCTTTGCACTGGAACCCACAGGGGCATGGTAATAAAGGACGATCAAAAACACATGTAGAAAAAAGCTAGAGAGCGAACTTAAAAAGATGGGAAGGATTTTGGGTAGAGCTGCATGCGACAGTGGGGGAAAGAACGACTTGGCGTGAGTTAATTGAGGGCCTATCTCCATTAGTGCTTATAGAAAGGCAGAAGAAGAAACACATTAGTGAGCTGTTAGATAACGAAGGATAGTTAATTTTTTTAAACAGAATTTTCTGCGTTTGTTATGCAGTTAAAACAGGATGAAGCTAAACCGGTAATTATGCTGTAAAATAATCATCCAAATCACAACACAAAGACTTCAAAGATAACAGCCGTTATCACGAATGAACGCGAATGCTGTTTGATTGGTTAATCGGTTTTATGGACTTCCCGGATTCCAAGTAAAATAAGGCCTTATCTTGACACATCAACACCTGCATAGGCGCAAAGGGACCTTTACAATGTATTCGATTTACTGAGCTGTTTACCAGAGGCTTTTCAGGTAGGAGTTTTCTTGAGTCGGTACCTTATTGTTCAATTGTTATAGTCCACCGAGCTATTTGATGTGTCTGCCTGCCTGTTGGTTTGCCTTCCAGCCTGCCTATTTGTCTGTCTATCCATATGTATGTCTGTCTATCTACAGGCCTGCCTTTTCGTCCGTCTGTCTTTCTGTAGTCTCAATATCTTGCGATCCTGTCGGGTTGTCTGCATGCTGGTCTCCCTGTCTGTCTATCCATAGATCTGACTATCTATTGGCTGCCTTTTTTTATGTCCGTCTGTCTGTCTTTAGTCCCCATATCTTGCGATCTCTGGCGAATGTACCAGGTACCATGACTAAAGGATGTGAAGAATTTTATCATTGTCTTGCCAGTTTGTCTTTTCTCGAGGCGTTTGCCCCGTCCTTTGATATGGGGTTTGTTTAATGTCGTCCATTTCCCTGCTGCAAGTTTTACAAAGATCCCGAGAGAGACTGAGGTAAATGGAATATTCCCAGTGCAGTAAAGTCAGTCTTCTCTAAATTTTACTTGAACTTATTTAGGTAGGTCCCCGTTCTTGGACCACATTGTGGGGAAAACACTAACAGACCCACGGCCTCTCTAACAAACATGCCGTAAGAGTCGACTGATTGGGGACTTCCTTCGAAGTCAGAGAATGCATCTGCCTGTGAGGCAAGGAACCAACAATCTGCATACAAAAAGTCATAAGATGCGCAAGCAACGCTCAGGTTCTGGAACAAACTTAAAGTCCAGAAGTGGACGAACAACAAACGCATTCCGCCGGAGTTTACAGCCGGTGAACATAAAAAAGAAGTGAAAGAAGAACGTTGACAAGAAAGGTCAAAGTTGCTAGATTGGATTTCATTGTACATGATAGAACGAAGTGTTCCCTATGTGGGTTCCAGGGCCCCATTGTGGAGGGGAAAAATAATCGACTCACTGCCTCCCTAATAGTCATGTCAAAGGAGTCGGCTGTTTGGGGGCATCCTTTGAAGTTGGCGTACATCTGCCTTGGAGGCAAGGACCAAGAACCCGCATGCAAACAAACCAGATATGTGAATCGGACGTGCACACCAACACTCAGGTTCAGGAACAAGACTAAAGTCCGGATGTGGTAAACACACATACATTTCCGCTGGAGTGTACAGCCGGTGAACGCAAAGACCAAGAAAAGAAGAAGAAGAAGAAGAAGAAGAAGAAGAAGAAGAAGAAGTGTGGGAAAATATAGGTTAGTTGCGTATCCTTTACAGGACGTTGCAGAACCAACCCCAACCGCCCCTGGCTGTTGTGTGGTTTTTCTAGGCAAATTTACGTCCAGTAGTTTGCCATTGCTCTCTGGACGGTCGGCTTTCTCGATACCACTGTCGAAATCAACGCAAGGCCCATTCCCGCAGCTGGGATCGAACCCGGCATCCCCGCATTACGAAGCGTTCGCATCGACTTAGCCACAGAGCCGACGTGGGAAAATATTCTGGGAGTATTATGTGATATATAACAAAACAAAACGATAAAGACGACGAAGAATTATTAGGGATCATAAAAAGATCCCGGATACATGTCAGAATGTTCTGGATCTAGGAAGGTAACGTGACGAAAACGCCAACTGACAACCAGACTTTAATAATGCACGGTTTAGAATACCAAGACAACTTTTTGTTCTTGAGAAAGATTTCGTATTTCGTTTTTAAATGTTACGTGTGTTTTTAATTATATCACCGTTTAATCACTATACTCTACACTGTTTACATTTTGTGACCTAGTACAGTGATTCCGAAATTGTTCGCCGCGGCGCCCTCAGGGAGCCACGACCTCTTCACTGGGGCGCCGCGAAATATTCGAAGATACACACGTTTTATTTGTTTTGATCTCTTACATACGAATAGTCATTCTTTTACTTAGGTTA